GCTCCCGGTCCCCGAGAGCATTACCGGGTTCGCCCGGCTCACAGGTAACACCCGCAAACGGCGGTCCTCATCCTTGCACGCTCCGCCAGGCGAGGGCGGGGGCGAGGTGTGACGATCCCCGGGCCAGGGGGCGGGGCACGTGACCGCCGTGGGCATGGCGCGTGCGGTCGGAGCCGCCGCCGCAGCGCTGGCGACGGCGCCTCTCGGGGCTGCGTGTCCTGGGGTCCACGTCCTCGTGCTTGTCCTTGTGGCGGGCTCTGGCGAGAGCCCAAGTTCTGGCCGAGAAGGCGCTGGGTCGGTGCGGGCCGGCCTCTCGTCCCCCGTCCTGCGCATCACCCTCGCGGGCTCGTTCTGAGCAGGGTAAGTCGCGTTATCTGAGGCGCCAAGTCATAGCCCCGACCCGGCGTTATCTCTGGGAGTGGGAGGGAGGGAGTGGGGAGAAACACAGACGTGCATGGAACACGGACAGCACTGTTCTTTCGTAATGACGTTAGTAACCTCCGTTTCCATGGGGTGGAGTGGGCCTATCCTGGGGCATTTCAGGTCACCTCCCTTGCTGTGATCTTGGAGGCAGTTGAGGTAACTTGAAGCCAGACCGTGTTGGGTGGAGTGGTGGGTTGAATCTTAGAAAATGAGTAATGAATATATGTAACATTCTATACTCAGGGTCCCTCCTTTACAAAAAAGAACCTGCAGCTCAGGAGCTTGAGGTCCGGAAGACGAGACTCTCCTGAGTGCAGTCAGCACTTGGAAGATTTTGTTGGGTTCTGAGCATAACAATGTAAGGGGGATATTTGTAAACCAGACTCAGAGACCAGATAGAAAAGCAGCAAATACTAAGGTAAATCTGGGGTAGATAGGGTTCTTTGGCCTGGGCAGGCCTCCCTCCACCTTACCCATTTTTACCATAGGGCACCTGGTCTCTCTGATGAGACAGAGACAGAGAGACAACGTGAGAAATCCCTGAAGGGGTGATGACTACGCTGCAATCCCTTCTCCTCCTGGGACTTTGGGCACGCACACACATACTCTTGGTGTGAGTTCTGAGCCACCAGGTCCAGGACTCAAATGCGATGGACTACGTGGGAGTCCAGTGAGGCAACCCTTACCTGGGACATTCTAGAAATCTGTAATAGCTAACTTAAAATACAACAACTGGCCAACTGATGGAGGAAAAATAAGGCCTTGTCTGTGTGCGGCACAAGGCAGAACTAGCACCAAATTAGTGAAGGCTCTTTGGGGCTGGATTTCAGCTCCACTGTAAGGAATGAGGTATATAGACCGGTCGATTTATATATCAATCTGGATATGTATTTTTAATAAAGTGTTTTTCTCTAAACAAACGTGGTGCCTTGAGTAATAACCCCTCTCAGAGATACAAACAAAAAAACCCTGATTCTGGCGGTGGATAGATTTACTTGGGGAAAACTACACGACAGACATACATTATCTTCTAAATCTAGAGATTCGTGAGTTATCGTCAGAGATAATTTCCTTATTAACAAATGGATTGTGATTTTTTTAACGAATTATTTTATTTTCAGTTTTAAAATTTGGCTATAAGGCACATGTGCTCATCAGAGAGAAGGAAAAAGCAAGATGTCAGGTCCAAAACTCAAACCACAGTGTGTCATGTTAAGAGTCCAGCCTTGGGGGAACCAGCAGTTAGCATAATGGCTATGTCGCTGGACTCCCACGTAGTCGACCGCGGTTGGAGTCCTGGACCCCGTGGCTTAAACTCACGCTGGGCGCGTGTGCGTGCGTGCCCAAGATCCCAAGAGGAGAATGGAGGAGAAGGGATTGCGGCGTGACCATCCCCCCTGCAGGGTGATTTCTCACTTTCTATCTCTCTGTCTCTCTCTGTCTGTCTGGCGAGCACACATGCCCTATAACAAAAACTTCTCCAAAAAAAAAAAAATTAAGAGTCCAGCCTTGGGGACCAGCAGATAGCATAATGTTGGACTCCCATGAAATTGACGGCAGTTCGAGTTCTGGTCCTGGTGGCTTAAACTCATACTGGGTGAGTGTGCCTGTGTCTCTAAGATCCCAAGAGGAGAATGGAGGAGAAGGGATTGCGGTGTGGTCATCCCCCCAGAGGTATGATTTCTCACTTTCTGTCTCTCTGTCTCTCCAGCAAGTTCACGTGTCTTATAGCAAAAATCTTTTTTTAATTTTTTAAAAATTATTTTATTTACCTTTATTATTATTGTTACTTTCCAGTTTGATCAGACAGACAGAAAGAGGGAAAAAGAGAGAAAGCAAGCCACCAGATTCAGGACTTGAACCATGGTCGGCCATGTGGGAGTCCAGCGTCTTTAACCACCATGCCACCTGCCGGCCCCGCAGAAATCTCTCTTAAAAAAAAAAAAAGAGAGAGAGAGAGTCCAGTGCTTTGGGACCAGCAGATAGCATAATGGTTACGTTGCTGGATTCCTATGTAGTTGACTGAGGTTTGAGTCTCAGATCAAGGCTTAAAACTCACACTGGGTGCCTGTGCAAGGCACATGTGTGTGCATGCCCAAGGTCAGGAGCAGAGAATGGAGGAGAAGGGACTGCGGCATGCCCATCTCCTCTTGGGGGTGCTTTCTTGGTTTCTGTTTCTGTCTTTCTCTGTTCAGCAAGTACATGCACTCTAGCAAAAATCTCTCTCAAAAAAAAAAAAAAAAAAGGATTCAGTACCTTAACCACTGTACTACCTGCTAGCCCTGGATTATGACTTTTTAAAAAAGTTATTGTAAATTTGTTTTATTCTTTTAGAATCATTTTATTTACATTTATTATTATTTTTTAAAAATTGACCAGAGAGAGAGAGAGTTTGTGAGAAAGCAGGCCGCCAGGTCTGGGACTCAAACCACAGTCAGCCATGTGGGACCCTAGCACCTTTAACCACCATTCTACCTGTGGGCTCCTGATCTTAATAGTTGAGTAGAAAAACGTACAACTGAATAGAAAGCATGATAACTGTATAATAAATAATAGAAACATCAGTCCATCAGAAATAACATTAAATACCAAAAAGGCTATATTCAAATCAGTGATTATAAGCTGATCAAATTCTTTGATTCTACTAGTCAATTTTGAGGATTGTAGCAATTATGTAAAATTTTGATTCCCCTCCTTTATCATTTATTTGGGTACTTTATATATTTTAATGTAATCCTCATCTTGTTCTAACAGTTGTATGTTATTTTAGTCTAACATCATAATAGGCTTAATCAGTCTCCTGTAGCTAGAAATGTGAAATTTTCTAGTTTTTAAAAATTTGAAAGGTAATAGTTCAGTATATACCAGGTAGCATTTTTTTCCCCTTTGAATTGTACTGTCGAATGGATTCACTAAATAATTAATGCGAGGTCTAAAGGGGTTCTCATTTGCCAGTTTACCTTCATAATGTGCATAAATTGGGCCAGCATGTGGTGTGATGGTTAAGGTGTGGATTCCCATATGGACCACCAGGTTCCAAACTGGTGACTTGGAAATCACTCTGGGCCCGTGTGTGTGCAGGCCCAAAACCCAGGAGGAGGGGTTGCAGCATGGTCATCCCCCCATGAGTTAATTTCTCACTCTTCCTCTGTGTCTCTCTTCAGTGAGTACATGTACCCTATTGAAAAATATTTTTAAAAATATTAAATAATGTGCTTAAATACCTGCTCAATATTAATAGTCATGAAAGGGAACATCCCATTTCTCTCCTGCCAGTCTGTGTCTGTGTATATCTAAGTTTCAATTTTCTGTAAATGGAGTGTACACAAAGATGAGTATGATGCTAGAAGATTGCAAAAGGATGTTTTTTGGAAGATCTCTACACAAATAGTTAAATCCTATTGAAGGCATTAGGAACTCTTAAATCCATTATATTAACCTTGTCTTTAAATTTTTAAAATATTTAGTGTGAGGACTGATTCGCCAGAACAATGACAGCTCTGATAAATATCTTAGGAGCGTGTGTGTAACTTAATCCCGATGTAGTGTGTCTGTAGTTTAGTTCTCAAGGTATAACTTACCTGTTTAGGAAATGTGTACGTACTTGTAATAAGTCCTTTGTGAAAAAAATGAGGTAGTATGTTTAATTCAAAACAAGCTCAGTTGCAGGGTCTGTTTTGGAGTACTGTGGAGGAAAACCTCCGGGACCATTTTCTACTTTCAAGTCTCCCTTTCAGAGTAGATCGTAACTGCAAGTGACATTTGGCTTTTCAGAATGAGCAGTGTAGAATCTACAATGTGGACTGCTGTGGAAATAAAAACCTGGAAGACAGCTTTTTAAACAGTTAATGGTTTAAAATGTCTAGAAGACCAAAAAAATACTTCCAATTTCTTCTATGAAAATTAAAGCAAAAAAAAAAAAATAGAGTTCACATTAACAAGTTTGCCTGTATTTGCTTCCCTGTTTATATCTAGCAGTTTGTAAAGCAATGGACTCTCATGATGACTCTGCATTCTTAGAAAACACGCGGAGATCCTTAATCACCATACACTGTTTAAGTACAGACCATTCTTATCTGGCAGAAACAACCTGTCTGTCTTTATGTCATTTTCAAGAGCAAGGCTGTTGAGATAATGTGAATCTGCCTTTTAGAAGTGCAGTGTGTTATAACACTGACCTTTGAGAAAGCTTTCCTTTGGACCAGCAGTTGGCATAATGGCTATGTCGTTGGACTCCCATGTAGTCGACCGCGGTTCTAGTCCTGGATCTAGTGACTTAAACCCATCTCCTCAGAAAACGAGCACGCACACACATGGTTTTAGGCAGTCCTGCTAGGGACTGTTGCTCATGTTTGCCCTCCCTGCTTTAACGCGGCTATCTAAGTGGAAGTTCAGTTACTTCTAGACCATTTCGGTGGATTTCTAACACCTCGTCTTGCCTCTTGTGCTCCCACCCACAACCCTCGGTGCTTTTCCTTATTTTCCTGTAATGTCCCGCATGAGACCAGAATGATTTCTTAAGTGCACAGTTTTCCAGGTAGAATAAAAAGAATTAAAAATATTTCGTATTACGCACTGGGCAGATTCCTACCTTGTGCCCCATACAGGGTTTTCATCATTTAGCACCTGCTCACTTCTGCAGTTCTTTCTCCTCTTTCATATTCCAGCCATACCGTGGGACTTGGCCTCCGAGACCTTTTCTGCCAGTCATGCGCCTTTGCCTGTGCTGTCTCTGCATGGCCTGCAGCGCCTCCTCCTGTCTGCCTGTCAACTCCCACACCCTTAATCATCTTTCAAAAACCTACTGAGGTGTCAGAATTTTTGTTGTTGCTTATCCCACTCGAGAGTTACTCACTTCCCCTGCATTGCTTACTTGTGGTTGCACATGCACAGTACGTAAGCCTTCCGTATAGGTCTGTACTCCATACTAGATGGAGGCTCCTTTGTGGTAGAGGCCAGGCCACTATTTTCCCTGCCTGAAATCACCCCGGAAACAGATTGGACAACCAGGAACCAGCTGATAGCCCAGAACCCACCACAGTTGCTCAGGCTAGTTCTAAGCCACTTCCCTCGTGCTGCCCTGACTTCTCCGTGGAACCACAGTGAAAGTCTGTGACGTGCTTTCCTCTCACCTTTCTTCCTCCTCAACGCTGGTCCTTGCCCAGATGGCTCTCCGTGGCCTGGTGTGCCCCTTCCTTTTGGAGACTAATAAACTTTTTTCAAGGTGGTTGTCTATTTGTTACCCTACTTTCTTGACTAAAAGGAAATCCTGGCTACAAATCAAACAGTGTGGCTAGCAGCTACTGTATTAGATAGCGCAGCTCAGTAGTGAACCTCTTCACTGCAAGAAACGGCTCTGTGTCGTCACTGGAACTTGAATTCATTCGACGAGTCTAGCATTTTGGTTATGAGAGTGTAACAGCCAAAGTGCTTGACAGACAAGCCCTTACAGAACTTCATTCTGGTGACTGAAAGATTATATTCCAAAGATGTTTACCATATAACATTGTCAAGTTAATTTGGCAAAATACCTTTTTTTTG